ACTGTTCAAATTTGAGATCATTTGATTAAAACAAATCCTTCAGCACCGTATGTCAAGGATTATGAGGAGTGTAGTGTACCATCAAAACCCTTGGCTAGCGAAGATAACATTTAGAGAAAAGAGGAGGAATCAAACCGAAATAATACTCTGTACATATGAATTTACCTATCTGTTTTCTCCATTCGTTTTTGAAGACAGTGTTGCATTTTCAGCTTATCAATCAACTGCTAAAAGTTACGTGGATTTTCGATACAGTTCTCGTCAACTACGGGAATTCATATGAGAAGACAACAGGGATCTTTACCGCACCTTCTTACGGGACATATGGGTTTACATGGTCAACCTTAACCGATCCAAATAAAATGGCTCATCCCTTCCTGAGAGTTAATGGGCACAATAAAGGATATATTGCATGCAATAGTTTAGCCGCTGCAAAGAAATTTTGGAATAGCGGCTCTAATACGGTACTAGTTCGACTGAAGAAAGGTGACAAAGTCAACATTGCTTCAGGATATACGAACGAGATTGCAAGAAAATATTACACTTCGTTTTTTGGGATGGAAGATGCAATAACTTTTTTGTCTAATTATAAAAGATTTTTATTAGATTATATAAGATGTAAATTAAAGAAATGTTTGTTTTAATCTTTAACACATCCTCAAACAAAATTTATTACCTCTGTTGTTGGCAGCTATCTAATTGGCTCAATTAAGATCACATGTCAAGTTTAAAAATTCTATAATTAATAGACTGGATGTGCCTCTTTTAAACGTAAAAAAAATTAAAGCTTAGATATTTGGTATTTCTGTGATTCAAAACGTTCCTCTATGAAGCAGCTGCTATTCGAACTTGTAATGTTACAATGCTTATGTGTATTTTAAGATATTTCTTTTTAAATTTGACTAAAACTAGAGGTACTGTGAAAATGAGCTCACTAAATGATACCCCCCAAACGTCCTATATGATTATAATGGAGTTGAAAGTATTGTTATGGAAACCAAAAATATGTATCAGATCAAAAAGTAAAAAGGAGGTGCACAATGGCAATATGTAATAAAGATTCTGTGAATGTTTCAACAAATTTCGTTCAGTGGTATGAGAGGAGTTGCGGATAAGAGATGGATACCCCAAAGAGTAACAGACAGACGGACGGACGTGAATACAGAAGGAAATACAGACGGATGGACTGACGGACATACCGATTACCATATTATCTTCGCCTGTTATGCAAATTATCCCTTGTTTCCCACTATTATTGATGTCCCTGACATACCCTCCTAACTAGACAGTGATTCCTTAAATCAACAATAATCTTTTTCATTAAAACATGTACGTTAATTTGATGTACAAGCATGCCTTTCAACTCGAGAAAAAGTAATCCACAGAATTTACAGTAACACATCTTTTTCATATTTTGATATAATTATATAATAAGGGACGTAAATGATAATCTCACAACAAGACTTATTATTTCAGTTTTTTTATCGTCAATATATCGTATATTATATAAATTTCTTTAGAAGGATAGTTGGTTGTGGGCGTTATTAGATCATTTAAGCCTTCTTATAATGGTATCTGTATAAAAATGTTAAAACAGTAATGTCATACAGTAAAACTCGTTTAATACGAACACAGATATTGCGAATTCATGGATAAAGCGAAGTTATTTTGGATCCCCAGCTATATAATTTAACAAATTCCTTATATGGATATAACGAACTACGGACATAGCAAAGTAATTTCATTGGTCCCAGTTACTCCATTAAAAAGGAATTTTTTAGACTAAAATTCAGAGTGCAACACGATAAAGATGACTTTATACATTTATTTCATGATAGTGAGAGAAATATGAAGACTTATTCAGCCAAGAAAAATCATATTCCTCGATGGCTTTGCCCGAGGGAAATATGATATTTCTTGGCTGAATAAGTCTTCATGTTTCCCGAACATTCATGCAATGAATTGTTTATTATACCGAAACAAGCAAAACCTTTGAAATAAATATAAACTTTCAAATTCGGAACCGCTCTCAAATTCACTTTCATTTTTTTATGTAAAGTTACCATGAAACCTACATTATCATCAGTTTTGTGACGTATACCAGGCTATTGTGACGTCTACTTCTCTCATGAGTTTTCGTTCAACAACGAGAACTATATTGCGGGAAAATACACTAGGTGTTCGGAAGAGTTGGAATATGATGAAAAGCGTGCCGACGGCCGGGTAATGTGAAGTTTTCCGGTCCGATCACGTGATAACATAGAACCAATCAGATAATGCGTTGTGTAGAATATTTATAATGAGGTATAATAATAACATTTGGTTCACATTTGTCCTTACCTGCAGAATAAATTATATGGTATGTGCTCCCGATTTGTATTAATTGTGTGACTTTAAAATCAGAATTACGGTTCGTATTCTTCATATTTCAAAGATTTATGACCTCAACACTTAATGATCATCAGATTGTTAATTAATAATATTTTGTTTAACGTCCCTCACGAGAATTTTTCACTCATATGGAGACGCCACCACCTGCTTGTGGAGAGCTACAAATTTTGTCCTATACTCGGCACTCAGGGCCATGAGCAGGTAGGGATTTTTTCGTGCCAGCACCTACTGCGACACGGGACCTCGATTTATACGGTCTCATCCGAAGGACCGGTCTACACGTCCCACACTTGGATTCGAACCCGTGACATAAGGACTGACTCCTTACTTCGCGACTCTAGAGCAGACGCTCTAATCACTGCACCACGCGGGCGATAATAATCGGTTTGTAGGTTTGTAGTCTGTTCTGCATCATAGAAAACTGAAACCCCTTGACAAGCGAAATTTCAGTAAATAAAACAAATATTTATGACATTTGTAATTTTCAAAGATCTTTTGACCTAGTTTCAGTTTTAAGGAAGTACAAAACACCCATGTATTCTATTAAAACCGCGGAACATTAACTAGCAAAATTTGAATATACAGCTTACGTCATTTCTATCTAATGCAATCAAAACATTCAGTGATAGACAATGAAATGGGCGGGTACAATTCGACGCGGACGTGCGGAAAACATCGGATTGAAATTACAGATCGAAATTCATTTTCAATCCACCTCAGCTACGCTAGAAGGCACATTATAACTGATTGACCCAGAAGACAAATAATTTCAATTTTGGTACAGTTTGAATTTTTTTGTCCAGTGTTTTAAATAAGTTAATATCTAAGGAAGAAATATTTCATTTCTGTTTGGTAAATATATGTATATCATTGTGTTTGGGGGAGGGGGGGGGCTGTTTAGCGATTTTTAAATAAAGTTGTCCAACAGTTTTCAATGAGAATAATTCTAAAACTCATGCACTCTTATAATCCTAGTGTTAAGCAATGACCTGACTCGACAAACCCCCCCTTTCTAGAATCTAATTTTCCTCAAAAATAATCTTTGTCTTCTATGATCTTTCGCGTTCTTAAAATTATAAGCTAAAACTCATATTAATTCGAACTTCAGACAATATGTATTTGGGATTTGAAACTAGTTGATTTTTGGATCGTACATTCACTCTTTGCTGTGAAAACAGCTAAGGTGGATTGAAAATGACTTTCGATCTGCAATTTCAATCCGATGTTTTCCCAACGTCCGCGTCGAATTGTACCCGCCCATTTCATTGTATATCACAGAATGTTTTGATTGTAACGGATAGAAATGACGTCAGCTGTATAATTCCAATTTCGCCAGTTAATGTTCCGCGGTCTTAACTGATTACTTAAAAAGTATTGGAGAAAAAAGAATAATTTAATATTTTGACAACAGTGAATGACCACTGTAAGAAAAATAGTAAGTTGTGGCATATTCTCGTCATATTTTGTGGAAAAAATCAGAGAAACCTGTATATTGGTCACTCGAGAGCTTACATTTTAGAATGTATTCATGCTATCTAAATGCAAGACACAAGCATAATTTTATAACAGTCTGTTATTAAATGCAGTGTACTTTTTGTTCCATACATAGAAGAGGGCTAAAAGTTGGACACATATATAAGGTCTCCATTCCTTATGTACTATAAAGGTCAAGGTCATATTAAAGGTCAAAGGTCAAATATTGTGACGTCATCTGTTGATTTTCTTTGTAAAAATTGAATCATACATTTTCTCGTAAGACAACTTAAAGCTGAATACGACTCGTAAATAGGCATACTCCATTTTCGATAGCATTATCTACGATACATCAATACTCGTCGCATTCGTTACACCTGACTGCTTTATTGTCACGGGTATCGGCGTGGAATGGCGACCCGTGTTCGTGCTGGTTATCTTGCATTACCTTTGTTTATATTTTATTGCAGTTACGTTTATCTGTGTTTTGTATGAATACTGCACTGACTTATACAACTACAATTGTAAATTTATTTAGTATCTTATTTTCCTGCATTAGACGAAGTATTACGTAATTATTTTCGCTACCGAGATCTGTATAGCACCGGTGTCGACTGATAACACTGAAGAGTGACTAAGTTCTGCCCTATTTATAGGGGTCTGCAGAGTAGCGAGACTCGGGAACAAAAATGGCGGACATATTCCTTTTACGAATCGTGTTCAGCTTTAAAGTGTAGAATTTACATGTGAATTTTCGATTCCGACGCTATGCATGTTCTATTCTTAGGTATAATTTTACTCAAATTTTCTAGTATCAATATATATCTTACTGAGTTTAAGTAAGAAAAGTTTATCTTTTTAAACAGTATTACACAAATTTGCAATAGATCAATTGATAATTTTAAAATAAGGTTCATAATCAAAATATCAAAGTTTCAGAAAAATTGAATTAGAGGAAAAGTTGGCCTTTCTTTTGTGTCCTACCTTAAGTTCAAATACCTTTTCTATTGCTTATAAATTTTATGACAATTGGATTTTTTTAAAAGATCTTTTAACCTAGTTTCAGTTATAAGTACAAATACCCTTTCTATAATTGCTTTTAACTGTTTAACATAATAAAGCTGTAATAATTCTATCTACTGTCTCCGAATTTTCATTTCTGTGGTTTTCAAAGAGTAATGATACCCCAACCAATGTTTCCAGTTCACACCGTCAGCAAATGAAGAATGATGTCCCTTTAGGTATAGACCATTCAGGTTGGCCTGGTGACAATGATTATACCACCAACCCCCTTTGTACGCCTTTTGACAACCGTTGCTGTCTTGACGGTCTCGTGTATAGAATGGTCGACCATTATGATATGTCAGAGAATCGCCTTTTGAAGATATATATGTGAGAGCGATTACTAAAACAAGCTTATTCTGTTAAACGTGATTTTTAGACATTTTTTTTAAGAATTTTATATTGTCTTGCATGAAAATGGGTAATTCTTTTTCTCAAATAGAAAAACTAAAAGTAATGCATCTTTAATTTTTTGGAAAATTACCTGCGTTTCCTTCATATTCCCCGACAGTCAAACGGTAGCTAGAGGCTTCGTTACCGAGAGAGAATGTTCGATAATAAGCATGTCTTCTTTGGTTTTTAAAGTCTGACAGATCCACTCTCAGCTCATACCAACCCTGAGATATCAGTTGATGTATTCGTTGGTTACCTGATTTATAACAAAGTAAATACATAGGGGAAAATATTACTAGATGTGCATGTTATTAAAATGAATACCCGGTATTTAATATTCATATTTAACATGTTTAACTTTTCACGTTGAAGATAAAATAACATTGAATGTGAAAAATCATTGACAAAAATGTAACAAATTAAAATAAAGAAAAGTTACTAAATTTAGAAATAATGTAAAGATGTTAAACTTAATTACATTAATTTGTAAATTATTATTACTAATGTAATAGATAAATCGATTTCAGAGAGAGAGAGAGAGAGAGAGAGAGAGAAAGACAGAGAGAGAGAGAGAGATTCAGTCTAAGGCACAAATCATATGGGACTTATGAATAAAAATTGTGATGATTTCTCAAGAAATTCTTGTTACATTATTTTATTTCATTCTCTCGTTTGTTTCGGTATCTATTTACTTCACCATTAATTGATTCTTATTACAGATTAAATTTTGAAGAAAAAAGACGTTAAAAAGTTGATAAATACATTTCTTTTGAAAAATAATGAAGATAAAACAGTGAGCGCGACCTCACAAAAAATTTAAACAGTAGAAATATAAAATTAGAGCTTAAAAGTGGACTCCTTGTACTTACCTATCCAATGTTCGTCACTTGGAACACCAAAACCATACTTGTATTCCTTCCAATATCTGTTGAATCCAATTTTTCCACTCTGTCGTCTTTGAAAAACCTAATATCATGAAAAAAGATAAACAAAAAGTGGTCTTTTTCAAGATTAATCTTTAAACAATAAAAATGTATAAAGGGGTATAATTTTAAATTCAAAGTTAACACCAACCCCTGAAAATTCAAGAGGTGGGATTAAGTGCTTATGGGGAGTGAGCGTCCCTTACTGACCGATCACAAACGCACTAATCCCTTTGTTGTATTGAAAACGTAGACGGAACATTCTATATTCACATTCAGTTCAATAAAATTAAATCAAATATTGATTTTACCGTCCAACCGCCACCAGAAGTCGTCACGTCACAATAAACTTGAAATCCACCGGTCCCCTTAGGATAAATTTTGTACACACCGCTTTTAGTATTATTCGACCAGAATAAATCTTGGCAATCCTTTGGTAAGAATGGCACTACAAATACATTTATCATTCAAATAGATTTTTCCCAGCAACTCTATATATTATCTGTTATTTCTTTTGTTTAACGACTTTGCGATTTCAATTTTTATTATTTGTATTTTTCTCCTTGAAATTTATGTTCAAGGTCAAGTACAATTCAAATTAATCAACATTCCTTTAAATTAAACAATCTCAGAATATACTTACAAGATGCCAAAGTTAAAATATTTTCCAGAATTATGAAAAGCCATGATAGAATACAGATGGCGAAAACAGAAACTTTTTCCTCACCGAAGAGAGAAAAATGAATTATTTTAATAATCAACACTTACATGTAGACGGCATGTGTTGTGAAGTGTGCTTTTGACACCTGAATTTACAGGCGCACAAAATGTTTGTTTTCATCCAGTTTTGAAGTATATTTAAATAGTGCTTTGTCTTGAAACACGGGAGTTGACAGACTGCAGGATTGAAATTTTGGATGTTGTTTTTATATATAAATACAAAAACAGTAGGACCTTGTCATAAATTTCATCCAGCTTAGTTTTAGGGTTGCAAAACAACAATAAGCATCTTACAACCACAACACCGAAGTAATAAAAAGATATTTTTTAATGATTTGTATGTTGTTTGTATGCTGCTCTATAATTAATCAAATTTAAATAAAACACACAAACAGTCAATTTATTAAGTATTACTTTGAATTAGAAATATTGATTTAATCTTTATATTATTGTAGATCACTTAATTTTCGCGACACCTTATTTTCGCGAGATAGTCATTGACTCTTTATAAGCGAGACAAAATTTTCACGAATTGTGGTCATTGCTCTATATAATCTTAAGGAATTCTATTATACGCGAGAATTAAATTTTCGCGAGCATACCGTCTCGCGTAATTACGCGAAAATAAAGTTCTCGCGAATAAAAAGTGTTTTACAGTATGTGTTCAGCTAATTAATAGACAAGTATGTGAATAAACAGTTGTGAAAAATTTTTATTAATTGTTTGTGTGTTTTTATTCCAATTTAATTTATTATATATAGTAGGTTAGGTAATAAAACACTTATTCAATGACTACTCGGTGAAACAGCCAAACTGTTGTCCAACAACAATTTGACTGTTTACCTCGTAGTCATTGAATAAGTGTATACTGTTAAATTAAGAGAAAATTACTGTTCGTGAAATTTACTGGAGATTCCTGTGTTCAGAACAGGTTAAAAAAAATGGAAGTTTACTGCATGATGGACAACTTTTAAAATAAATTGATATGTCAAGCATTTTAATAACAATATTTTTTGGAACTTTATTTCAATGACAAAAAAATGATGAAAAATTATTTTGATTTATCTCGATATATCACAAAGTCAATTTCCTTGAGTTAAATTCGAAAATGTCGTCGTGGAAATGCATCTGGGTTTTATAGTTTGCGTTTTATTATCATTTTTGAAGTAATACGAGTTCCCTGTTGTTATATTATTGTCTTCCATAAAATGGGGTTGTCAGAAAAAATTAAGTTTTTCATGGTTATATACATTGATGAAATTATTGAATTGCTTTACTTCAATCCTTTTAAGCATGATTAAAAGTGACAATACGGCGCATCTCTTCAAAATCAGACTTGTTTAAATTTTCCTATAGGATTTTGAATGTTTTTTCATACTCGTAAATGTATACACTTTCAGAAAATTACAAATTTCATTAGTAAATCATTCTGATTATTTCATTAAAATTAATAATTATTTATGGTCCATAAATATTTACATCGCAACGTGTTCGAGGTTCCACATGCCATGCTATCCATGCATGCGTATGATTTTCATAAACAAAACAGCATGGCAAGAGAGGGAAACCCGGTAGGCCTGCTACATTGAGGAAGTCGACCAAAATGAAAAACAAAACCAAAAATAGGGCTTTAAAATAAAAAGCAACTTTCCTAACAAAATTTTACTTGGGAAATTAATATTGTCATTGGATGACGAAGAAACGTGATCTCGGTGACATTCACGTGGGGCTCGCGAAGGATCTACCCTACATGTTTGTTGATACTTGCTATCATTTCTCGTATCTCCATGGCTTTCAAAGAAAAAATCAGTGTAAACTCAACGTAAAAATGCACTTATGACATATGAAAATTTTGCCATTTGAAGTGCAAATTGTATTGGAACTGCAGAAAGATATTTTGTTTGACATTTTGCCGCGATGACGTATGATTGGTGGATTTTCCTTTCCTGCATCCCAATACACAAAACGTCAACATTTGTACTTTATCATGTTCAATTCGTCTGAATGCAGACTAATATGTTAACTATTATTAATTTACCGGAGAGATACGATATTCCATTATAATTGTAAACCCTACATTGTATGAACGTGTCCGTGTCATTTTAGAATTCACGTGGTACAAGTAAACAGATCCAAGTTGTACGACCCTTGATTTTCCGGCAGATTCTAATTACGTTAATTTTGTATGAGGAAAGAATATTAATTTTATTTTCTCAAATGCTTACTTCAATTTTTTACCTTATTCCTAAATAATATATTGGGTAAATTTGAATGAAAAAGCACACGATTTGCAGCCCTATTGCCGCTTTAAGGACTGTTATGAAATAATTTGCTGAGAATATTTTTCACTGGTTTATTCAAGGAATGGTTCAGTATTCTATTCTATTCTATTCAGTCCGTGCTCTGCCCAAGCGAACACCCTTTTTATTCATGGACTAGTTAGCATGAGACTACATGGTGCTGATGGTGTCATAACAGTATTACACTTTGGTTCACGTTCACGTCAAATCATGGATGACGCAAAATAATCCCGGAATCTTTCCTTCCGATTCGGGCATTTTGATACGAGACTGGAGCTGAATTTTTTTATGAGATGAAAAACAACATGTAAACTTCCTGTATTAACCAGATTTATTAAAATTTAGGACGTGTTGATTTTTCTATATACTGTCAAGAGTGGGGAGTGATTAGGCCTTGGACTAGATTTTCAAGCACCTGCTCGACTTCGACCGAAACAAACTTGCGTGCCTTGCTGGATGGCTATGTATTTTTTGGTACTAAAATCTTTATAAAGAATGGTTTTACAAGATCTGAAAAGGAAATTTCTCAGAAGTTTGTTTTGAATTAGTTACATCTACTCAAACTTGCGCATTTTTGGTAAGAATATATAGCAGAAATTAATACTGTTGTGACACCTGCAGTAAAACCGAATTTTGTACTTAGAAATATTGTAGTCTAAGAATTAAGGTTTTAATTTGTGAGTTTAGACGGAAAATGAGAAATAATGGCATTTTTCAGCCGTCATTGCTGTTCGTTCATGTTTAATGGAGCATAGAAAATTAGTCCAGATTTCTTCTAAATAAATAAATTATGTTGGCCACACCACGGCCTGTTTTGGATGTATCGAGTGGAGAGAAATGCATGAAATTTAGAGGACAGCTTAAAAAATACCTTGCCATCACACTCGTTAACATTATTTACTCATAGTTTATTTTAAAATCTATAAATTAAAAAAATTTAGACCACACTCGGAGCAAAATAAAAATTCTGAATATGTGTAAATATCGGTTTATTTGGAACACATTGGTAACAGATAAAGAAATCCGGTCGGAAAAAAAAATTATTGAGGCAAATCAATCGTAATTAAGCAGAAAACGCCTTAATATTTCAATAATATTTATTAATTCGATGCCCATTTTAACCCTACCCCCCAACCTTATGACAAAAACTACTTCTTTCGCCCTGTTATAAAAAGCAAACTTATTTTGAACAAGTTTTCATCCTCATGTGAATCAGTATGCATCTATTAGAAAATTAAAACGAAAAAACCGCACAAGTTTAACGCGGAAGATCATTACATACAGTTCAGCTTTTGCCATATTTTTAGAAATCCGTGCTCACCGCGAAGCCCCCTGTCACAGAGTTTTGCCCGTAATTTTCCTATCTTGGGACGGATTTTTATGAAACTTGGTAAATACATTAAATAATCATCATAGATTGGAAAAATAGCAATATATCGGCAAGGAAAAAATTTAAGTTTAATTGCAGGTGTCATAACAGTATTACACTTTGGTTCACGTCAAATCATGGATGACGCAAAATAATCCCGGAATCTTTCCTTCCGATTCGGGCATTTTGATACGAGACTGGAGCTGAATTTTTTTATGAGATGAAAAACAACATGTAAACTTCCTGTATTGACCAGATTTATTAAAATTTAGGACGTGTTGATTTTTCTATATACTGTCAAGAGTGGGGAGTGATTAGGCCTTGGACTAGATTTTCAAGCACCTGCTCGACTTCGACCGAAACAAACTTGCGTGCCTTGCTGGATGGCTATGTATTTTTTGGTACTAAAATCTTTATAAAGAATGGTTTTACAAGATCTGAAAAGGAAACTTCTCAGAAGTTTGTTTTGAATTAGTTACATCTACTCAAACTTGCGCATTTTTGGTAAGAATATATAGCAGAAATTAATACTGTTGTGACACCTGCAGTCATTTCAATCCTTCCAATGTACTGAACAGTCATGAAATCAGACGAAGACTATTTTTTAATCTAAAGTAAATTTGAGAGGTTCAGATGGTGTTTTGAATACCTTTGAGCTGAAAGCTATAGAAAACTACAGAATTTTGATAAAAGGTTGGGAATTTGTCATAATGTTACATGTTATAGGATGATAGTTTGATGAGGATAAGTGTTGGATTCTTCTGGAATTTCATTTCCACAATACTTGGAGTAGTGCTTAAATTGGTAAAAAGATTGGCGGTGGTCTGAAAAACTAGCTCTAAAAACATTTCATTTCAAGATCTGCTGTAAAAACGGTGTCGAAAAATAGATGGACTGTCAATTCAGATGTTTTGGGAAGTACGCCGGAAAAGTATGAAACAGAGATCAACCTCGAACAATCTAAAGGGATTTACTGAATATAAGAATAAAAAAAATTATGTGAACAACGGGTAACAAAAACTGTATAATTTTTAGTATACATTTGCCAAAAAAGGCGTTTGAACCTTCAAGTAATAAAATATCAATATATTTACCACTGATTATTTTTACTACTGATGAAAAAAATAAGATATTTTCTCAATATATGAAGAAATTCTTTATAAATGAATCTTATAACACATTTAATAAAGATTATTAAAATAAAAATTAAATAGATTTACTGTCCATCCGCCTCCTTTGGTCTTTATATCACAGAAAACTCTGAATCCGCCCGTACCTTTCGGGTAGACAGTATACACACCATTAGCTGTGGTTCCTGACCATAGAATATCCTGACAGTCTTGTGACAGAAATGCTGAGAAGAATGTTAAAAATATGTAATTTGTATACTTCAGGGAGGCAACATTTAAATCAAAGTGATTATTTTAAGTTCCATCTGAATATTTAATAAAAACTTGCGGTGTTTTCAGAAAAAATTGCACAGTTTTTCAAGGTTATATAAATTGATATAACATAATTGCCTTACTTGAATTCTTTGTTTCAAGCATCAATGGGCTATTATGACGAAATTTCACGGAAAATATTATTCATTGATATTAAAAAGAGAAAGATTCATTCATCTTTCTAATGCTAAAATGTGTTGATTAATAAATTGTTCAAACATTCTGCTAAAACCAAGAGTGATTTTCAGAGAAACTTATAATTGAGTGACTGTTTAAAAAGTTAAAAATTAAAATTATCTGTCTTATTAAGGAATAATTCTTAATTTACTTTACCAAATTTTCTGAGAAATAGATCTAGTTAATCAAAATGGTGTTACAATTATCATATTTACTTAGTTTTCTTTGGTCTATTTTACTTGATATTGCGAGAGCAAAAACTGCTGCAAAGAAACAAAAATATCTAATTACCATAGTTGATAATGTGAGACAGCAATCTTTGAGTGTTGAAATGTTTTAGGATTTTGTACTTTATTTGTCAACAGCAAGAAATATAATCCTTGAATGTAACTTTCAAATGCACCATGTTGTGTATGCAACAGAAATGATAATGCAATTCTATCTAGATTAATTTAAAGAGAGATTTTTATCAGGATGGTATATGTAACATTTTATCCGGATGCATGAAATTAGTAGTTGTTAGCTATCTTAAAAAATCTAGAATTTTCAGGATGTGTCAGAATTAAAATGTTTCATATTACAAAAGTTGTTTTTTAAACGTGTACGTATACGTTGTAGTACATGTAGGAGATAATCTAAATTCGTCACCAAATTTAGTTTAAATTTAAGATTTCAATTTTTATATAATTGCTTAAGTAGATTTTTAAGTTGGTAAAAGCAGTGTTTCTTGCTAGGGAATCGTTTCAAACATTTGAAAATACACGTAGATAGAACAAAAATCATTTAAACTTAATGTTTTCCGATTTTCATTTCTTAAAAGGTAGGAGTTTGGTAATTTAAAGTACTCGCAAAAATGTCTGATTTTTCAGATTGATGTACATTTAATCATAGTATTTTCAAGAGAATTTTGATAAGTATGCATCTAATCAAATTGATTCTTTTTTTGTTTTTCATTTAAATACCTAATTACCCGTTGGCAGATGCAAATTGTTAAATTTCAACTAATCAGAATCAACGAAGATGTCCAAAGAACACAGTTGATGGAAAATACTTCTTCCACCAGTTATCTTACTGTACAGATCATTATCAAAACTTTGGGAAATCTGAACCGCAATTTTTCTAATGACTCAGTAGTCTATGGAGTAGAATGCAATCTATATGGACAAGTTTTTGTTGGTGAAACCAAAGGAGCACTTTATAAAAGAATCAGTTCATAGCTAGATTTCCTATTAATTATGGAGATCGACCAGCGGCTTTCTTACAAACATTTTAATTTACCTAATCATTTTATTTTGACAATGAAAGTTAGAATTCTTTAAAAGATTTATCCCCATACAAATAGTCCATCACTGAGTACACATATCCAAAGACAACAAGAAGAATTTTGGATAAGAAAATTTGGGACAGCCTTTTTCTATGGATGGAATGATAAAGTCGATATTGTTGGAAGTCTTTCCAGTCCACAGTGTGACAATGTGATTGTATTTTAGAAGAAATTTAATTCAATTCTACGAGTGGTAATTCAACTTATACTCAAAGTTCCTTTTCTGAGGAAGAAATTATTCCAAATCATATGTCGGTTTTCAATATTTTTAATATCCCAAAGAAAACAAATAAATTTGAAATACCATATCTTTATTGGATTCCAAAACTTATTACAAATCATTACAAACAAAGATACATTGCGGGTTCCAGTAAATGTTCAACCAAACCTTTACTCATTAAGAAGTGAAGGAGAAACTCCAAGAGTACTGTGCAAAAACAATATATTCAATATAAATCATATGTGCATACTAAAAAAATCCAAGGAACTTTTGGACAATTTGAAATTACAAGATGTTAACAAAATCAACAGCTTAATAACTTATTACTTTTCAACTTTACACATAATCATTCCAAGTCCAAACTTTTTGATATTGTTTAAAAAAAAGTTATTGTGCACATAAATACTCTGAAATTGACATCAAAAAGATGCTTGAGTTTCTGATTGAAAATATTTATGTGGTTTTTGGCGACCAAGTCTACCATCAATCTATTGGAATAAAGTGGGAAATAATTGCACACCGTTTTAAGTATACCTATTTTTTATTCATATGAAGCATTAATCGTGCAAAGTCTTATGGCTGAAAAGAAGAAAACCCTTGCTGTGACTTTCCCCCTAGACTTTATTAAATGTAAGCAAGTAAGTCAGCATGAATTTTTTAATGACTTAATGAATATACATGTATCAAGGAATTATATATTATAAAACAATTATTGCTGAATTTTCAGTCAATACGATATTTTAAAACGAGGTAAATTATTGACGAGCAAGTTCCTGAAACAAGAATATCAGGCGTTTCATTTAAAGTCATCATTTGGTAAATTCTATGATCGATACAATGACCTTGTCAGCAAATACGATTTATCATTGAGTCAAATACTAACTGACATTTTTCATACTAATTGTTACTGCAATATTTATACACGGAATTGACGACGGATTTCCGTAATTTTCCGTTATTTCCTGATCATGACAAGGAGCACAAGGCGGGTGTGACCGGTCAGCAGGGGATGCTTACTCCTGCATGGCACCAGATTCCACCTCTGATGTTTCAGATGTTTGCTCTGTTCTTATTTTGTATTGTTTTATGGACTTTGAGATTAAATACTATTCGTTATCTCCATATCCTCATTCGCCATCTGCAGAGTATAATTTTATCCGAGCTATTCGGTCTCGGTGAATATTGAACTTCTCAGATGGCTAAATCATCGTATTTATCTCAAAAACCACAGTAGTGGTATATTATATGATATATACAAAAAAAATTGATAAAAAGATAAAAACGAGATTACAAAAAGCTATCAGATGAAATTGTCGCAGATGCTTAAAGCGAACATTTTACAACAAAATTAAAGGAACTTTGACACAGATTTGAAGTTATTATTTTCTTTATAATATTACAAGTTACATATTTTAATAGCAATTCATACAAAAACTAATTAAAAATCTGATTAAAACTTAAAATTTTTTTTGGCGGGTTTGATTGAGACATCCTTGCACTTTCACATATTTTAACTTTATTCTTAATCTGTGTCAAAATCTGTGTCCAAGTACCTTTTAAATTTGTTTATCTTTCTTTATCCAGCTGTCTTTTTTTCAAATACGCAGCAAAATAACACTTTTTATCTGAATAACCACAAATGGTTTGAAAAAATATCTTTTTTGAAACAATTTTTATATAAGGTATAATATGAACATAAAAATCGATTTTTTTTTTCAAAACTGTCACTCCAATAAATATTTTGAAATAACAAGTACTTTTCAAAAACCCTATGGGGTTAAAATTATAATGCCTCCGAAATGCAGTAGCAGAAACCTTAATTCCAAGATACTCTTTAATATTGTGTGCTTTGGTTTTGGTTAAATTCTAAGCTTTCTTTTCTTCACGACCACAAATGTTCTTTGTATGAAGAAATTTTAAAAAGAGTTACATGTAAGGTATTGATGATCAAGTTGATGAAACAAGAATATCAGCATTTTCGTTGCATGTCAACATTTCTTGAGTTCTATGGCAAATACAGTGACCCTTTCAGCTAACACAATACAATCTAACATTAGTTCAAATGCTAACTGGCGTTTTTTCATACATATTGTTTGACATGATTTACACACTTAGCTGTAAACGGATTTTTTTGCTATTCCCCGATCATGACAAGAAGCACACAACATCTGTAAACGGTTTGCAGTGGATTCTCGCCTCTCTATGGCACCTGGTCCCATCCCTGACCTTTTCTAGCTCTGTTCCATAATACATGTATCATATCTAACCTAAAGTGTTTTTGAACGTCTGTGCTCTGCACGCAATTTAATTTCTTAAAGGACTTTGGGCTTGAATACTGTTATCTCCATATTTAATTTTAAAAAAAAACGATGTGTAGAATAACTGGTATTACTGGTTATTCCTTAAATGTTTCATTTAAGTTAATGAATATTTTTTCTTCATTTTTTAAATAACATATTTATTTGCAAATTACAAAGTACATCTTTTTTTAAGTAAGTTTCCCTAAATGGCCTTATGTGACTTAACTTTTTTTCCCAGATTAATGAAAACTTTGCCACTATACAGATAGCCTTTTAGGCTTTTCTAAACATTAGTACTTTTCGCCAGTTTGAGAGTGAAAGATTTTAATACTCAAAAAACACTGAACATGTGTTTTGATTGATTAATTGATTGTATATAATGTAATGCACCTCTCGAGAATTTTTCACTCATATGGCTTATGGAGACACCACCACATGCCGGCGGAGAGCTGCAAATTTTGCTTGTTTTTGTGTGACCTCAACGGGTTATTTTTAGAATCAGATCAGATGCTAAGAGATGTACTGCTCTGTTAGATTATGTTAGAATGAGCTACTTTTTTGTAGTATTTGTTAAGTCAAACATAGTTTGATGACATTATCATTAAGAACTAAAAAATTTTATTCATATGAACACAAAAGAATAACTTTAAAAAAAATAAGAGCGGGAAAAAAGAATGTGATATAATAAAAACGTTTGATGCTGAGACAATGACATGGATAGGAACAACCCTACCCTGGTGTCGGATTAAATCTTTGGTTGATTGGATAAAATGTCATTTTGATTTCAAAAATTGGGTCGGTTCATAGTTTGACACCAAAATTGAATTTGATTTTTTTCTTTTATAGAGGATTATCAATCCCCGTCTTATTCATGAGAGCAAAACCACTCATGATAATTTTTTTCTAACTAATAGATAATTGTTGTTTATCTACTATCATCTGTAGAAAAGAAAAAAGTTAATTTCATTTTGAAAATGAGTAAAAAAATGAAATCAAAAGTTTTTTCTTTCAATATCACTGTATTATTTTAAAATTCTCTATATATCGTTTCCTAAAATTTATCATTTTGATTTTTTTGAGTAAG